CTGTGAACTACTAGTAACTACTAGCTAAGTAACTACTAATTCTGACGTGAAATGACATAACAAATTTTATTGGATATTATGGTTGCCCAATGATAGACGGATTGACATGGTTCTGGTTTCAGTTACGTTCCCGTTGTGGACGCTTGTACTTAATCGTTTTCTGACACCCGGGAACGTAACGCAAACGAAATTAGAACATCACGTTACGTTCTCGTTACGTACGCACGAGACTCGGCCATTTTTAAAATCAGTGCGATGTACAATGTACTTGTCAAGCTCGATGTCACGTGATATGTCTCGGAAATTACGCCATATATTTAGGTCACCGGTGGGGTCGTTATTTACACGAGAGTTGGGAATTTTCCAAGCTGCACTTTTTGCTCTGGAATATTGGGATTGTATTTACGATGGGTGACATTAATGTTTTTGTTGGCAATACGACGCTTATTGACCCAGAAGTATATCAGCTTTGGCTAGATGGTCTGTCAGGTAAGGTTAATTATTACAGCGATGCATGGTGGTGGTGCACACATGCGATGTATCTGTTTAGACTGTTGTCACTTGTGTGATCTGCTACAACTGTTTACATGCTGGATCTCGGGAACCCCGCACTAACGATTTCTATAATTTATTAGCAGGTATTCAGACTACATACTGGCGTATTCAAGTCACTTGACTCTGTTAGTCTGTTTGATTGCCGAATATAAACCGGAATAGCGGGAATAATAGCTTATTTGTATTTCATTTTGGAATGTATGACTAGTAATGGAAACGCACCGGTAAAGGTGCATTGTGAAAGTCATCGTGAGGATTTGATGACGAATGAAACCCATGTTTCAATCACTTATTTTCAAATTTATATTTCTAAATAAAGATGACATCTTTACAAATACTGTATCCACAGTGGTCGTGTAGATCAATTAAGTTATTAAATTATCTAATTATACTTACTGTAGAATACTTTATTTTCGCTTGGAATTTATTTTCGCTGAAGGGATGATTCAGTGAAAATAAAATCCAGCGAATATACTTTTTTTCCTATATTTCACATTAAACTCATGAAAAATCAATGAAAATAAATTCCAAGCAAAACGCCCAAAAAGCCTTTTCAGCGAAAATTAATTCCAGCGAAAATAAAGTATTCCACATTATTCATTATCTAATTAGATTCTGCTCAGACACAGTCCAAAAAAAGGGATTTATGGATTGACCTCTGTGTCTTCGTGTTTTTCGTTTTTACATCAGCATCCAGGAATATCTTACACATACACACACTTGAACCGATAGTTCAAACGTAACACATCATACTATATACATGTACATGTATTTAAAAAAAAATGTTTCAAAATCACACATTTTCAACATTCTTGAACAGAATGTCAATTGTGCGTGGACAAATTTTGTTAAAAGTTGGTATACATATTGAACATGATAGAACCTTGATGCACTTAAGTTTATTTTTTGGATTAGATTTAAAATGGACGACCGGTGGCCATTTTGTTTTAAGAAATGCAATTCCTGAGAATGTGGATCAGGAATTGTATTTTTGTCATCATCTAATCCAAACTGTTCAATTTGCTTGATATTATGGATATTGCTTTGGTAGTCGTGCAATATTCCACGCCTATAATGTAAACAGGAATATGACATTAACAATGTCTTGTTATATTTATTCAATATTTTGCTGTACCACAACCATAAATCATATTTTCTTTTGAACCAATCATGTTGAAACTTTACATATACATCATTTCCAGTGTGCCGTGTAATTAAATTCACATTTTATCGGATTAATTGTAAATTCAAAGGATACTGTGGAATACTTTATTTTCGCTTGGAATTTATTTTCGCTATTTTCGCTGAAGGGATGATTCCGTGAAAATAAAATCCAGCGAATATACTTTTTTTCCTATATTTCATATTAAACTCATCAAAAATCAGTGAAAATAAATTCCAAGCAAAACGCCCAAAAAGCCTTTTCAGCGAAAATAAAGTATTCCACAGTATTAGGCAATGCAACATTTTTGTTTGTGCCTCCAATCATCTATAGAGTCACCTTTTAATTTTTTCTTCGAGGTCTTCTGAACAGCCAACAAGCTGACTCAACTAGGTATCAGAAGGATACTATTTTGACTCGGAATTCCAACAAATTCAGACTTGTTAGAGGGAATACTGATATCACATATCACACATGTACATTTTTTATGTGCAACCTGGCCAAATGTTAACGCTTAAAAAATAAAGCATTTCTGCCATTTCTGATTTTATTCATAATTAGTATATTTTGTTTTACACATCAAATTCAAAATGGCTGACTGCTGGCTATTTTGTTAAAAAAATGCTTTTGACATGCTTGCACATATGTCACATACATGGATATAAATTCATTTCAAGTAGAACCACACTGCGATTTAGCATTGTCATCTTTTTGGAATCGGATTTTAGGCATTTGTTTATCTTTGGTGCATAACTGGAAGATTTGCTAGTCTTTACAATGTCTTCTATGATTGCATTCATGTCTTGAAAATACTTATCATATAATAATTATAGGAACACGGACTGTCATGATTTAGATTTGTTACTGATGACACATGATGGGTTATACATATTTGTGATCTGAATTATATGATTTACAGATAATAAATTCACTTCAATTTGAAACAACAATGTCCGAGATGATTCTGAGTTTCTGTAATGACCAGAAACTGCACAAACTCAAAATGTGTTACTTGCTTGTCATCAAGACTTGAATGACTGAGAATCATGCATCATGCTTGTATAATAGATTATTTATGTTTCAAAATATTGAATATGTAGAACATATATTCAATACATTTCTGTGCCTCTACATTACAGCTCAAGAAGCCATGTACGCACGGCAACATACTGGTATCTTGCGAAAAACTGGTGCCTCACAGGAAATGTTATTACATGACACATTAGACTATTACCGAACTTTCTCAATGTTAGAAAAATTGTTGCACATTCCGCCACAGCTAGCCAATCAAACGCTATTACAGATACCACCTGAGGCACAGAAGATGCTTATAGAAAAGTAAGTTGTCACTGACAAATATTTTTTTAAAAATCGACTTGATTTTTCTTTACACAATGCTGTCTATGAAAGTCACATGCTTGATAAGCAGTTCTTAGCCATGCATTAGCCATTGAACTGCTTATTCTATCAAAAATAAGTAGTCCTAACATGTAGATTCAGACATGATCAATCAATAATGAAATGTACATTTGTAATTTTTAAAAGCGGTTTATATATTAATATTTCTTTTATGTAGGTACTATGAATTTGATTTCCAAGTTGTTAGAGAGATGCTTGGTAAAAAGCTATCAAGTAAAAACAGAAAGGATTTAGACGATATTAGTGACAAGACTAATGTTAGACTTAGAAGTTGTAGAAGACAGGTCAGTAACTATGGTAACAGATATGCAGTGTATAGTTTTGAATAAAGGCATTCATCATGATTATTGCCTGGAATTATTCTCTAAAAGTGTTCTTTTGTATGACTTTATTTCCTCAAGATGTTTACTTATATATCACTGTGTAATATTATTTTTTCAAGGTGTTCACTTGTATAATTTTATTCTTCAAAGGTGTTCACTTAGGTGACTTTATTTTCCCAACGTGTTCATTTATATGACCTTATACTCACATGGATGTTCAATTGTATGAGGTTAACTGAATTCTTCAGGCATGGTGTTTTTTTGTATGCCTATATTTTCCCCAAAAGTTTTTTGTATGCCGTAGTACTAAACAAGAATTTACAAATTAAGAATTGTTTCTAAAATTCAAATTTTTTTTTTTCGGATTCAGTTTGATAATTTCAAGAGGGTGTTCAAGATGGTTGAAGACATGGAAGGACCAATTGTTAGAAACATACAGAGTCATTACCTGGTGTCTGATGAGCTAGGAAAGTATGTTGAAACTGGCTTGTTGCATTTTTTAACTGTTTTATTGACTGCTGAATACTTCTACGAATAGTCAAAATGGATAGGAAAAATCAATATCAGCAGTCAGGATGTAGTATGGACTATTCTGTATGTAATAGAACAACCCAATGTTTTACTAAGGCAATTATTTTTGGTAAAATAATGTGTTGCATTGGAGGGGGGGTTGAGGGGGCAGTTTATTGTGATAATTGTATTCCCGTTCTTCATGACACATAAAAGAAATACTTAAAAATTCCACTGTAATATTATGATGAATATGAAATGAATATGAAATCTTACTACATGCCATTCTTTCTGTTTACGTGATTTTTCTGTAACAGGCAATACGCAGCAATAGTATTTTTTGCAAATAACCGTTTTGATACGGGTAAGAAAAGATTGCAGTATCTGATTGTTCCAGATTTTACTTATTGTGCAGATGAGATGATTAAAAATTGGACTTCTGGATCATTTGGTAAGTCTTGTATAGTTCTGGTATACAAATGAAACGGTATATTACAAATGTATATTAAAGTTACTGTACTGTAGAATGTACATTCTTTATTTCCGATCTGTGTTTTTATTTTGTTGGTTGTGTTTTTTGGTTTGCTAAGGTTCCAAAGCTGATATTGATGCCGACCTGGACCGTGATTTTCTTCAAGAACTTCGAGATCTGAAAATGCTGCTTGATAAGGATACAAGTGACCAGCACAAAACGTAAGTATTTTAGATTGGCTTCAGTTAGGAAATTATCTTGTTAAAAAAAATTGTCTACTTGATTGTGAAATGGTGTTGTACATGACCGGCAGAATTTGTACAAGAATCATTCCTATTAAATATTCATAAGATCTAGATGCATATTTTAATGTGATTAGGTTTACTATTGACTTGAACAGTGTTGTTTTGAACTAATCGCAATGTAGATAATATTAGAAGCTGAATGTTTTAGATGTAAGTATTTTTAGTCTAAACTTGGGAGTGGCTTTGGATGAATCATTAAAATAGCTGAAAATCTGGTGGACATTGCTCTAGCATGATAGCATGATCTATCGTGCACTGCAACAGAGTTCTTTATATTTTATAGTTTATTTTACAGTTGCAGTGAGCGAATAATTTATTGAGATACAGAGTTCAAAATTTAATTTATGCTGTGATTGCTGTCAGAAAGATGGCTAGTTCTTATAGGACTGTAATATAAAAATTCCAAACCATGTCATCCTGTCCTGTAAGACTGGAATAAATAATTTGGGATTAAATACAGTAGGATGTATGAAATATAGGTTATTTTTTTGTTATGTACAATGAAATAGAAGGTTAAATGCAGAATTATAATAATATTATGTTAAGAACATGTCCTGGAATACTAAAATAAAATAACCTAATATTATTATGAATACTAAAAGAATACCATATTGGAGTACAAAGAATAGAATTGTACTTCTTGTACTTTAAGTATTTTACTGTCCTTTTCTAAATACATTTCTGAAAAATATTATTTAGTATTAGTATTCTTATAGAATTCCCCAGTATTCCTATAGGATTCCTTTACTATTTTTATAGAACATTTAATGGTTGTCCTACAGGAATCCGATAAGTATCCTATTGGACATTAACAATTAACCTGAATATACATATTATGGGTAACATGTGCACAAATACTTGCAATAATTGTACATTTAAAAAATGAATCTTATATAAAGTCTTGGCTTGTTTTCACAGTTTGGTATGTTCAGAACTTCAAACCAGTGTGTCACCGAGAGTCAGTGCAGACATGGAATCAAATTTCAAAGTGAGTAAAATATACATGTATATGCTTCATTCTGTCATTCTAATGAATAATTTCACCTTTAACCTTGCCTAAGGAAAACTTTATTTTACTTTTGAATCATTAATCCACACTCCAGTACGTAAATGAAAACCTCTGATTACTGATAAATATTGAATTGTTACGAATGTTTATAGTTAACAAAGATTTTTTTCTTCACCAAACCAGTGAGTTCAAAACCTGGTGAATATTCCTCAAATCAAATCTGCTAAAATGAAACACAATGAATATTTTTTTTCTACAATGTGTAAATAAAGTACTGAGAAAGTGCTCAGTCTCATCTATATTGATGAGTTGGTAGTGTAAGCCATGTGATCTTCCATTCTGACAAACCATATTGTATTTTGTCTTCATCTAGAGTTTATCCCGTGCTTTAGTGAACATAGCAGCTGGCATGATACACAGTAAAGAACGGAGAGATTTCTTCAATGATGTTGTTGAAAAGGTAATGTCAAATTTCTAGTACTGTAAAATGACTAATTTTCACTGGGTTTAAATTTCACTGATTTACCATTTCAGGCATATTCAGTGGGTTTTAAATTCACGGTTTTATCATTTAGATAATATGTTTTATGCTAAATTTTACATATTCACTGGGTTTTAATTTAGCGCATTTTCCAGTCAGCGAAATAAGCCAAATTAAAACCCAGTGAATAATTAACCCTTTTACAGTAGATCCTTTCAGCCAATCATCACACTGTTGATTGTATTTGTGTAGAAATTAACATTATTTGCCATGTGCTTGAAGTAGGTTGTTTTTTAGCTCCGCTGTCGACTTTTTCGAGCGGAGCTTATCATATGAGTGATTGTCCGTCTTCGTCGTCCGTGTCAATGTTTTTTACTTTTTTGAATTCTTCTTGAAAACTACAAGCCTGAATGCTTTGATACTTGGTGTATATGTACCTTGGGTCGACCTCTCTTAGATTTGTCCATTTCATGATGATATCTTCAATTCTCTAATTTTGGTGAATATTTTTGTCATTTTTGGTAAAAAGTGATATTTTCGACTTCTTGTTAAAAACCGCAAGTCCAATTGCTTTGATATTATACATATAGGTACTACATGTGGGCCTCTCAGATTTGTTCATTTCATGATGATATCTTCAATTCTCTAATTTTTATAGTGAATATTTTTGTAATTTTTGGTAAAAAGTGATACTTTCGACTCCATTTAAAAAAAACCAAGTCCAATTGCTTTGATATTATACATATAGGTATACACCTTTACTTTTAAACTGCATTCATTTTGCAAATACTCAAAAATATAATTTTACTGGGGCTTAAAAATTTAAATATGCAAGGTACGATCCTTTTACCGGTACCATTACATACAATGTATAAATTGTGAACAGATAATGAGACACTATCTTCAAAATATGTATTTTAGTGGTTCTATTAAATCATGGCGGTCTGTTTTTTACCTCCATGATTAAATTATTATATATATAAAGCTAGGTTTGTCAACAATAGACACTGAGTTGGAAGGCTTTGTTTCTAGTTATGTTTGACTGGAGGATAAGTACCTCCAGTACCGGTAGTATTCTCAAAATGAAATGTGCAAATATTTCATTTCATGCTCATATCTTGTTCTGAGAGTTATGTATTTGCAAAGTGTGAAAGCAGGAAGTCATGAGATGATTTAGTTGTCATGAAAGCTTTCAGATACAGTTTTTTGCAAGCCTTGTATATTTCTCTTTCCCATTACAGTTTATTGATCCATGTAGACAAGCTGGGTGGAAGTATGAAGACATCAAGAATTTTTTGGCACAATATGAATTAGCATGTCAAAAATTTGAAGCATTTCAAAGGTATGTGGTGGTGCAGATTTTGCTTTAAAGTCACAGGTAGTTCACTTTTATGGTGTTCACACATGGCGCTCAACCTAGAATTTATTTGAACCCACTGTTAAAAAAAAATGCATGAACAAATTTCCTCGGTTTTAACCTTTTCACCACCAGTTCCCCCTTTTCATCACAAATTCACAAAATAGTCCTGTTTATAGTCAGCACTTTCCTTCAGAAGATTGAGAAAAAAATAGCCAAATTTCTTTAGTGAAAACTGAAAATTGACTCAAATTGTGTCTGTTGGCTTCAAAATTAGGGTTCAATTCCAGAAATATTGAGGAATATAAGAAAAAAGTGAAAAAAAATTTGGACGAGAAAGTCTGGTGGTGAAAAGGTTAAGCCGGGTTAGTTTAGCTCAGAATCAAAGGGCTGGTTCTTACCCCATATTCTGTGTTGTACCCCGAGTTGAAACATGAGAATAAAAATTCACAATGCCCTCACAAAACTACAAGATGACAGACAACATGCAAGCAGTTCATGAGCATGGCAATACTTATCAACAGAGGAAACAAAAAAATTATTTCCATTTGGGAAATTTTGACTTTGTTGGACAGAATATCACAAGACAATAGAATTCATGCTGTATTGTTGACAATGAGATGGGGATCTGTCATTTGTCTATTTCTGAATGCATGCAATCAAAAAGTTACAATGAACATGATGGGAGACTGTTTAAAGTGACGTCTAAACATGATGTTAGGGTTTGTCGTTTGAATAGGTGTGAATGCAGAGTTAAATATATAACTATATGACGTATGAACAGAATGCAAGATTGTCTCACTGATAAGGAATATTTACAAAACTTTCAAACCTTCTACTTCTTGGTACATGCTCAGACTAATAATACAATAGAGTCATTACGCCCATTTTTTAAGGTGTTAATTGGCTTAATTGTATATGCTATGTATGCCACGCTTGGTAGTATTGACATAGACACCGTCAAAGTTTACTGAACACCGGATATTCTGCACACTTCGCGAAACGTGGGATAGCTGTTGTCATATACATATATCTCTCAGCGTAAGTCGGTTATCTGTAAAAACTGGGTGTGTTATTTTTGTCGAGTTCGATTTCATAGTACATGTTCGTAGCGATCGTCCTCAGATTCGCTAATTCTTCTGTGCATGTGCTTTTTTCAAATTTCGGTGTGGTCATGGAGGTAATAAGGATTACCTATGTCTCGCGGTAGTTGATTGGAATATGAATAAATCTTGCGTTATTTTGTGATAAACTTGTTGCTCCGCAACACTTACTCGGTACGACAGGAACTGAAAACCTGAACAAACGTGGCACGCATTACTTCAAAAGAAAATGCCAGTCTGTTGTATTACTAGTCTGAGGTACATGTGAACAAGGCTTTACTGGGAACAGCTTTTAACTGTTTGGTCACTCGTGTGCTAATGGGTGTACATTGTGTTAAGTCTTAATGTGCATAATGTTATTTCTTTTCAGGCAACCTCGATTAATATCAGTATTAGAACGATACATGAAGACTTTTACAAATTGTACACTGAAAATGTACCATAGTTGATATCACTTAATGTCCAGCGATGAAACAGACAAGACATTTTGCAATCCAGTGATGTATTCATTGTCCATAGTGGGTTTTGCAAAGAACAGTAGAACAAGATTGCGGCTATCATGAAAGTTCGGCTGGATATTGACAATGACTGTCATTATTGGAGAGTGAACTGTGTATATATATATATATATATATATATCTATATATATATATATATCTATATATATATATATATAGATATGCCGAGAGGCATGCAATAAAACCAGTACAGTGAATTTATGCTCTCATGTGAGGAGATTCTATTTAATGCTTGTAGCCAATGACAAAATTATATCTGCCAGTCTGCTGATATTGCTCCATGGAATTGCAAATCCTGCAAATTGGAAATCGCTACAGTTGTATTCTTATGCAGAGCATATGTAAATTGATGATTCAACCCAGAACACATCCAATAGGTAGATTATTCTAAAGCACATTAGTCTCGACCCAGTTTTATTAAAATCTGTTGAGTAGGAATGGAGCTGAAAAATTCAAAATTTCAAAAACTAATATGCGCAAACTAATATAAGATATGCGCATTATGGTTCATTGAGAACTGATGAGTGGTGCTTTTGGACATTTGAAAAGTCAACTGAGGGATTATGATTAAATGTAAATATTAAATAAAAAATTTAATAAAATTTCTTTGTGTTGAAATTGATTTTATCTGTTACTCTACCTTAATAGCTGGACACCCCCCCCCTCCACCTTCGAGTGCACAATCAAAATTTAAATCCATTGCTCGAATCTCTGGGTTTTTACATACCATGATACAATTTACCTCATGTATGTACAAGGTTTCATTGAAATCTGATGATTGGTTCAGGAGATACCCATGGAACAGCTGCACATACAAGTCCACCTGTGTGGGTATTCCCAATGTACGTAACATATTGCTCGCTAAACTGAGAAATTATTGTCATAATTGCATTAACAAATTAAATAACCATACCATGGGTGGTCACCTTACATAGGCTGATAGTTAGAGCTAAAAGCTCAAGTTTACTCAAATAAATACCATGCACATTTCCATTTGGTCATGTAAGAACAAAAAAATTGGGACGATGTAAAGTTAATTAAAAAGAAAAATCAATCAGATATGGCAAAACTGAACACGTCTTAATTAGTTTGCGAATTTCAACTAAAAATAATCAGTAACATACAGTACTACTTTCCTGAAAATGCATTAAATTACAACTGGAAATATACCTGGAAAGTTGTAGAAGATTAGCTAATTAGTATGCATAAATTTTAGCCAAGCACATGCAAAGCAAATGCTGCATCTATAGACAGTTGTAGCAGATAAAAATACACTAATAATAATGCAAATTGGCTAATTAGTATGCATGAATTTCAGCCAGGCACATGCAAAGCAAATGCTGCATCTATACTCAGTTGTAGCAGATAAAAATACACTAATAATAATGCAAATTGGCTAATTAGTATGCATGAATTTCAGCCAGGCACAAGCAAAGCAAATGCTGCATCTATAGACAGTTGTAGCAGATAAAAATACACTAATAATAATGCAAATTGGCTAATTAGTATGCATGAATTTCAGCCAGGCACATGCAAAGCAAATGCTGCATCTATAGACAGTTGTAGCAAATAAAAATACACTAATAATAATGCAAATTGGCTAATTAGTATGCATGAATTTCAGCCAGGCACATGCAAAGCAAATGCTGCATCTATAGACAGTTGTAGCAGATAAAAATACACTAATAATAATGCAAATTATGCTAATTAGTATGCATGAATTTCAGCCACGTAAATATGAAACATCTATCAATTTCCAGAACAGTCTTTTAAACAATTGACAAATGAATTCTAGTGAGAGCTCATTGTTGATATGCAGTATTTACAAACTAGATTGTACATTGCATAGAATGCCAAGCACTGTGGATCATCATGGGGTCAAAAAAACCTTGGACACAATGTTAAATCGCAGATTCAAAATTTAATGACATCATTTTCACTGTTTTGTTACCATGACTACAGATGAAGGAACCAATCCTGTAAAGAAAAAACAACATAATATTTATCAGGTGAGATGTGTAAAACACCATACGGGGTAAGCTATTGACCAAAGGGGAGATCCATAACTATTAGTTACAGTAGAGATCACATATATATTAACCAAGGTGGATAACGGCTATTATTATACATCTGTCACCGTAACGCCATATTGAAGTTACAGTGTGCCGTAATTTTGTGGTACTTACATCCTACCATATTAGGAAACGCAAATTCCAAATATAGATTGATTACAAGCGATTGTATAGATTGTAAGCGTTCTCTTATGATAAAAACCAGACCCCACACTCGCATCGAATTTGAATAGTGTTTCCATAATTACCTAGTTCTTTGAGGGGTGTTTCCATATCATCTTCTTTGAAAATTTTGCGTGGGAATGTTGTCATTAATGAAAATGGCCCCACATCGCCATCGCCACGATTCAGTTGTACATAAAGACGAACCGCAGAAAGTGGTTCACTGGCTCCAAACGTCTGAGTAATTGCTGAACCATTCGGAAGGCGAATCTAAAAATGCAAACAAGACAATGGACAACATCATTAATAAATCAAAATAAGTTTATTGTAGCTGAATTCACATTTTCACATGTTACTACTAATATATGCAATGCATCATGGGAGTGAACCTCCCATTGTATGAATTGTAATATCACACTAGAATTAATATTAGAATTCATAATGTTATGAAGAAAGAATTCCACCATAGAAACCAGTGCATTTTTTTTGTAACTCGATGTTCAATTAACACAAACTTACGGGCAACATGCATTTTTGTTTTTGTTGAACATCCTCATTTAGTAACTTGACCTTTAATTAAAAGTTAACCGATTAGTTGATCAATTAGTCGTTTTGTTTAACTCAAACAATTTAGTATTTCCTATCACACAATATGACACTGTGGGGCGTTCATTACAGTATATTGATAGTATGTGATCTTCAATTCTGTCTGAACCCTCCTTAAGCATTGGCAAAAATGTTTTTTCCCAGATTGAAAAATTTCAAAAGAGGGCACACTTATCAATTCAGAAACAAAAATAAAATCAGCCTACTATACCAACCTGTAACCTTGCTTCATTATATTCTTTCTTTGGTGGGGATTCTACTGGGGCGGCTGGAGATAATGTAGTAGCAGTCTGTTGAGGAGACACTGCACCACTAGTTTTAGCAGCTCTCTCAGCTCGATCCTGAGCTATCTGTTCCTTTACTTTCTGTCTGTAATAAAATATGTCAAGACCATTATCATCCCATAAAAGTATTCACACTGGGAGAGTGCAAATTTATCATTTGAATTTGAATTGACTTGTGCATGTGATACATGATTTGAAATTATTTTAGTAATCAATGGTAGTAAAAGTACCGTAAGAAGCCGCATCCCTAATAGAAGTTGCACCCATTCGTTTTGAATAATTGAGAACCAAAAATTCATCATTTCTCATATGTGTAGGTGCTCCAATAGAAGCCGCATCCTCTCTGTTACATTGTACCAATTTAAAAGAAGCCACGGTTTCTAATACAGATTTTACAGTATTGTTGCTATGGTAATATGACAGTAGCAACTGACTGAGATCATAACATCACTAAGCTATGCAGTACTGATCAACATTGGTTCATTATTTTTGAAACACAACTATAACACAGTATAGGTGCAGAATATCCGCTCATCACTCACCTCGCAAGCTTTTCTTCCATTTTTTCTTTCTTCTTCTGCTGTGCAATTTTTATCATTTCTTCTCTTTCATATCTGTACAGATTCAAAACACAGAGACAACACTGAGTACATGCATTCAAGTGAAGTCTGTGAAATAAATACTAAAGACATCAAACATAAATATGAAATACTATGTCATTGATTTTAAAGTTAAGGGGTATGCTGCTTGTGATGTGAAATGTGATGAAGAACCTAGTGATTAAAGTCATGTGAATTGCAACATTATCACAAAATCATGACACAAACATTTCAAACATAAAAATTCTGTGAAAGATATGGTTAGGGGTGATCTCATATTCAAACACCTGGGTCAAACCTGGGTTAACCTGGGTAAACCCAGTCTGCCCTATTCAGACCTACTAGACCCACAATATGCAAATTAGTAGTAGGTTTGAACCTAACCTCTGGATTAACTGCCCATTAACGCCCCCACTGAAAACAAACAACAGAGAACAAAGAAGACAGACCTAGGGAAACCTAGGTTTTTCTTACAATACTGTTTCAGCCTGGTTTCAGTAGGAAAAAAAAATAAGATGTATACTATGGAGCTCCATGTTCATACTGAGTGTTATATTTTGAAGTGTTAAGAATTACAACAGCGATTTTTTTTTTCTTAGCAAGTCTTGTACATGTATTAAAATGCTAATAAAAACAAACTTGCATTTGTTTCACAAATCTATTTACATCATGTCATTTATAAGTGTGATGAAAATTATATTCATTTATTTCTGTGATTGGTAATAATAATCAGTTTCCCACAACTTACATTTTGGTACAAGTCAATACAATTATTATTGTTATTCAATTTATCTTGAATTAATTACAGACGTGATGGTTTGTTATATTTTGTCAGTACGGTCAGTTTTGTGTCCATGTCAGTTCATAAATTCATAGAACACATTTTTTGGTTAAGTTTGTAAAGTCTGTGAGACTGCGAGTTATCAAAATATGATGAAAGTATTAAATCGATAATGGCAACATTGTTTTCTACAAAGGCATCTGAAAACCACAGTTCCTCTATCACTGTGTCAAAACTAAAGTCGGAGCTAATGCTACCACTCCGGTGCTACGACCACCGTAACAGCTGACGGCATTGCGGGGAAATTACGGGTATTTACTGCTGCCGATATCTTACTTTTCTGTGACAAAATGCACACATTTCGAACCCCGGGCTAATTAAAAATAAACGACTATTTTAGACAAGCAGCCTGTCGGCTGAGATAGCTCCGCTGTTAGCAATGCACATTTCAATTAAAGAACAGAAGACATCATTAGAAAATGAACAATATGTATAGT